TCCTTTACAAAAATTTTCTCCGAGGCACCGTTAACGAGTTATCAACGAGAAACAGTGACCAATGAGAGGCGAGCTCGGCTGGCGCGTGGCGATCGAGCCAATGAGCGGAACTGGGCTTCGCGCGCTGCTTGGCTGGGCCGCCTCGCGTCAGCCGTACTCGATTCTTATTGGTCACTGTTTTTCGTTGATAACTCGTTAACGGTGCCTCGGAGAAAATTTTTGTAAAGGAAGAAGTTGCTTCAAATGATCCGAGGAACCCGCAATTTCCGGATTGCGAGACATTTTTGGGACACCCTGTAGACTGTTGTAAATCGATGTGAAGACAAAAGAAATGTGAAACAATGCATATGAAGGCGATTATTTGGTTCAAACGATCAGCGAGTGAGCTACTAGAGCAAGCCACTATAGTGGCGCGTCGTCCAGAGAGATGACATCTGCGGAAGCCACTATAGTGGCGCGTCGTGCCTAAAAGGTTAAAACACTGTTGAACGCGAAAGGAACGAAATATTCAATTTCGATCGTCGTCTGGATATCTGAAACCGTGGAGAGATTTGAGATTGAAATTGATTAGATTAGTATATCAAATAAATACTAGCTTCAGTCATTTTAATTGGTCGAAAGCACAGTAAATGTTTTTAATCTTTCTAGAGTTTCGCGTAGCAAACAGTCATTTTCATTATGAATGCATGAAATCCGCAGTCCAGTTATATTTCGGTACCGTTGTATCATTTTAAACGAACGTCTAGGAGCATATTTGTGCTGGTCGTTGCGAGAAACCAGGATCGATAAACAATGGATAAATAAATAGCCCGTCGGTAGCTAGAAAGTTTGTGTACTCTGTAAACTCCAGAATCTGTATTTTCCGTAAAACTCATCGCACATTGTGTGTAGACGTAACAAAGTCGGGCAAATATATTTCGTAGACGGGGAAACTGTAAAAAGTTTAATAAAACGGGCTGAACGTGCGGCTGCGTGCAACCTGCGATCTACATTGCTTGCGAATTAGAAAATTTATCAATCATAAAGTGACGAGCACATTGAAAACTATATGGAGGATTCACCGAATATTAAAAAGGGTGTTTGATATTGAAACGTCCCTGTAACTCCTGAATATTCGAATAGATTTTTCTAGTTCAAAAAACGGCTTTTTACTCGGTCGACTACTCAGCAAATGAGGCCGCGATTCGCGATAATTGTCAGGAGAATAAACGTAAATTTTTCAGGCTGTGGGCCGGCCCAGCATCGCGGGTAAAACCATCAAAGCGATTTTACCATGTCTCTTACCTCTCTGCGCCAATGTTTGCGAGCGTGGGCGAGAGAACTTTTTAATTGGCCACCCTTAATTAGTTAACCAGCAAAGTCTCGGTAATTATTCTGTTTCTCGCTCCGTTTCCATGCGCTAACTCGCCGCTCCTCCCGCCTACTCTCCTCTCCCTTCATATTCCCGTTCTTCCATCCTTTTTCCATGTTGCAGGGACGGGTCTGGGTTGGGGGCGTGCTCTCTCCTGTACACCGGACGGGGTTCTCATGTTTTCGCTCGAGTTCCTTCTCCGTCATGATTAACTCTGCTCACTTAACTCGATCGCGAAGAAGACGCGAAAATAGTCGTACCTTTTTTTGATACGTTCATCCGCCTCTGCTCATCGGGTTACGTTTAACGTCGCTGTTACCGGTTCCATCGACACCGACCTCATCAACAACATTCCATCAGACTTGGTCGACAACGGTCTAACTTAGTTCCACTTTTTTTTCCTCTGTAGGACCACATTATGTATATGAAAGACTTATTATTCATCTGGCTTCATAATTTAGGTGACAGAGAATAGTCACGCTTCCGGATTTACGTGTAATCCAACAAATATATATTTTCTATTAATTCGATCGTTTATTGCACAACAATTAGCAAGTCCAGTCATGTTCAGAAAGTGATTCGTATCCAGATCGAAAGTGTCGGTAAAACCTATGTTAGCAATTTTAATGCAATCATCGTCTATTTTCTTTCACGATATAGCCCACTAATGAGACCAATGTCTGTTTCTTTTCCAGAAGGCAGCAGACAGATCGGACCTCACGCCTGCACGGTTTGCCAGAACGCGGTAGAAGGTAGCGCGCAGAGCCGAGCTCTGCCAAGAAGTCAGGCGTCCCAGTACGGGCTGCGAGAGGATCAGGTAGCACCCGGTGCCCGCGTCTGCAACACCTGCAGGTGCAAAGCAGTTAGGGGACGCTACACCGCGTGTCCTCTGCCTGGTTGCCCGAACCTGAACAACGCCAGTTCTAAGACCAGAGTGAAACGGCTGAGAGCGTTGCCTGCCAAGTGGCTTGATCTACCTGCTGAGATTCGTGATCCGATCATTCAAGAGTTCCGTGAGTGTCTTCATATTTCTATAATAAAGTCCGATATGGTATGTAATCCGTGAAACAATCGACTTAACGAACGATTCGCTTATTGCAGAAATACCGAACAACGCAACGAAATGCTGTTCAGCCTGCTTCAATCGGATATCCCGACGTCTGGCGCCCCATTTAACCGGTAGCGCCGAGGTCGCTGAAGACACAACCGATTCCATGGCTCGGCAATGGACAGACGAGGAACTCGACCAGCTCAGGAGAGCACTCCGAGAACACGGCACCAACTGGTTGAAAGTCGCCGAGCAAATACCCGGCAAGACGAACCATCAGTGCAAGAACTACTACTTTGCGTACCGGAAGAAACTGAGCTTGGACCAAATGGTCGCTGAGTATTATCAGTCTTTGGGCGAAGAGAGGAGACCTTGCTTGACAGACGAGGAAGAGAGCGGTAGCAGTACGAGTAGCTGCGACGAGCTAGCGGTTAGTGTTCGTTCATTGTCGTTGTTGTACACGAATTGTCCAGTTTTTCCATTAGAAAACATTTCAAAAGTGGATGTTACAAAGCAAGATCATCTCTTGCCTTCATTGCCTACAAATTTCTTACCAAAAGATTCGGTATGCGAATAGTTTAGCAAACAGAAGATATAATAGAATTTATCACTTAACTTTCAACTGATACTACTCGATGAGTTAGAAACTAACTATACGTTGTGATTCTCATTTGTAGGTTCATGACTCGAGCGACACAGCCAGCGCAGGTAGTCCAGCGAATAACATGTCGAGTGGAACGCCAGGTACACCGGGTTCTTCTACAAATTTGCCTATATCTTTCTCGCGAGCGACCGATCAGAAGCTTGGCGACAAGCTGGCAGACATTGCTGTGGTATCTTTGGTGCCACCGGTGAGCATAGGTTCGTCGCAACAGTCTTCCACCAGCGGAGGTAGCAACGCTGCTTCAGCTGGCACTAGAGAAGACTACGATAGCTCGGCCACGGTAAGACCAAGTTTTCCTTTTGTTTCTGAGACCAAGGAAGGACGTGGGGTGGCCTTACATTATTTTGACCATTATCAGAACCCGCTGCGGTGGTTCGTTTTTCTTCTGAAATGTTAAATAAAGACGAAAGTTTGTATCTTGATAGGGCCGTCTGATAGAGGTTCGCTGATTGTTTCAGGAGACGGCGGACGAGGGTCAGGGAGGCGTCGATTTAGACAATAGCAGCGTCGTTGTGACATTGACCACCGCCAACAATACGACGCCGCTTCAACAGCAACACCAACAGTCGCACCAGCAGCTACCACCGACGTCGCATTCGCCCCCCTCAACCACCAGCAACTCAAACCCACTCACCGTTAAAGACCTTATGCTTGGCGTTATCGAGATGCAACTGAAACGCAATCCCAACAGCCCAGCCAGTACAGGTGGTTCCTCGGTGCCAGTGAACTCTGGTACGCCAACGATATCTAGTATACTGAAGACAGATCACCGGAACGATATCACTTTTGTGAGGGAATACAAGCCGTCGAGTTCTATGGCAAACACGACCATGTCTAGGGATTCGAATTTGGCAACTCTGTCGGTGGTATCCGGTCCCCATCACGGTCCCCATCGTTCCGCACCTAGTCCCCAACAACTTGGTAAATCGAATGTACATGAACGCTTTCCACGCTGACTGCTATGCCACTTTTGTATTTTTCACGAATCACAAAATTGTCATAGCAGTCAGCGTGTCGAACAGATTACTCGTATCTTCTCTAGGAAAATGAACTGTATTCAGATACTGTTTCAGCCCAAATGCAAGCAACAATAACCCCTTGTCCTCCAGCGGCATCAACCAGTCAGTCTTCGTCCTCGGATCTGATTCCAAAGGAAGGGCTGATCGTGATGCAAGTTCAACAAGCGCTTCGTGAGACGGAAGGCACGCTGGACCTGAGTATTAAGAAGCCAAGGCAACAACAAGAATATAACCATTCCTTGACGATTCACAAGCCGCCAACGGTTGCCCTTTACCGGCCAGAACCTCCTCCAGGTGCTTACTACCATCCTCACGCTCATCCAGAGCAAAGTCGTGGGGCGAAGAGTCCATTGGTTTATGCTCCTTCGCCGCGACCACAAGCGCCACTTACACCGAAAATGAATAAGGTTACCGTGCCACCGCCACACCCGAAATTATCTCCAAAATTGAGCACTATAGGAACGCCTGGACACAAGAGTGGCTCCATCACGCATGGTACACCGGTCTCCAGTACACGTTATGACGGTCTTCTCAGACAAATGACGCCCCCAGGAAATCCTGGCAATGCTCCTGGGACACCGAACGTTGCCAGTGGTGCGAGTGCGGTGAATGCCCCCAGTAATCAAGGACCCAAAGAGACAGGTTCGATAACCCAAGGCACACCGGTCCATCCCTTCGCGGTGGATAAACGAGCGCCTATGTATGACTATCATAGAACTATCAGACACTCGCCCGTGACGACAGGCAACATTCCCGGACAGGGCCAGAGTCAAGCAGGAACCGCGGCGGTAGTAGTGACGCATAGCAATCAATACAATTCTTACCCCAGTCGACCACCGCCGAGTTATACGATGGAACAACAGTTATCCTCGCGACAGATCATCATGAACGACTACATAACCAGCCAACAAATGCACGCGCGCAGTCGGAGTAGCGGCACGTCGGAAGGAGGCAATAAGAACGAGCCGCCGACGTCGACGATGTACTATACTAACACACCACCCCCGCAGTCGCATACGCAGACGCGGCAAGGAGTCATCCAGAGGCATAATCCTCAGAAACAGATGCATTATCCGCCTCCGCCACCGGGACTGGAAGCTTTTTCCAGTTTAGTGGACGTCGCCGTACAACAACCCAGTCTTCCAGTTCCCCATCCGCACAGCCATCCCGCCTCTGTCAGTAGCAGTCACGAGGGTCTTGGCAAGACCATGGCGGACAGGCTACTGGCCGACCGCTATGGTGATAAACATCGCTTGGCTATGCATCAAGCGGATCACAGAATGGCGGCGGCCCACCATCACCAACGAGATAGAGAAAGAGAACGTGAATTAGTTCATATGCGTGAAAAGGAAGAATATAGAATGCAACGAGAAAAGGAAATCCAACAGCAGGAGCACAGACTGGCACAACAAAGGGAAAAGGACGCTCAACACGTCGAGCATAGGCTGTCGATGCAGCAAAGAGAAAAGGATATACAGCACCCCGAACACCGTCTTACCGTCCATCAACAGAGAGAGAAGGAACTTCACCAACAAATGGCTGCAGCCGCTGCTCAGAGGGAGAAGGAACATCAGGAGCATCGATTGGCCGTGCAACAGCAGAGAGAAAGAGATATGCATATGCAGCAGCAGCAACAACAACAACAACAACAGCTTATACAACAGCAGCATATACAACAGCAACAGAGAATGGAGGCTGAAAGGAGGCATATAGCTCAAATGTATAGAGACCAGCAGCAGCAACAGCTTGATAGGGATGCCAGCAGGTTAATGAGCAGTGGATTCACTCAATCTTCGAGACTTCAACAACCACAACAATCTCAACAACAGCAACAGCAGCAACAACAATCGTCGTCTCGACAGAGTCAATCCTCGAACCAGCAGCAGAACGATTCAGCGTCTACTTTAACTGCTGCCAGTCTAATAGATGCTATCATAACTCATCAAATTAATCAGAGCGTGGATAACACTGGCGGTAATTCGCAGCCTCAACGACCAGGCGATCGTCTTTTCCAGGTATGTTGTAATTCTTCTCGTGGTCCCTCGTACACTTTGAACAGTCTCTACGTCGGACACGCATACGGATGTGTTTTATACGATAGAAAACTTTTCAGGGATTCCATCGGGAAGCTCCGGCAGAACCTAATGGGATGGCACATAGTCCTGCGGGTGAAGGTAACGGAGGCAACAGTGGTACTGGTGGCGCCAGCGGTAACGGAAGTGGAAATAAGCCGATTACTCTTGGCGAGCACGTAGATCACATTGTCTCCAAAGATTACGGTCCACCGCATCCCTCCTACAGATCGTATAGCGGGTGAGTATTGTGGAAAAACCTGAACTCTTTGTTAAACATCATCAAAATCCTTTTGCTAAAACATCCGTAATTCGTTCAGGTACCAAATCTCGGAAGACCAATGGAAAAGACGAAAAGCCAATGAGTCTGATTCCATAAAAGCTGGAGACGAGCGTCAGATAATCCGCGTCACTCAGCAGCAATCACAGCAGCAGCAACAACAACAACAACAACAACAACAACAACAACAACAGCAACAGCAACACCAGCAGGCAGCGTCTTCTGTAGGAAAGCAACAATTTCACTCTGTCGAACCCGTGTCACCACCGGAAGCGGGTACCAATCATTACGGGCGTCGCTTATATGAAACAACCACTGCCACATCGACTTCCGGAACCCCTTCCAACAAGCCTCATCTTTCGCCGTTGGATTACGTGAAGAACAAGATCGTTGAAGTAATGCGTACATCCGAAGACGATAAAGGTGGTAACGCAGGGGACAGGAACGGAGGGAACGTTGCCAGTGGAGAAAAGGACGAGAAGATAGGAGGGAACATCGAGAGCCCTTCCGGCGCAGAGATGATGGTCGACGGGACACCGAATCAAAATCCCCAACCACCCGCGCCAGCTCCTACAACCACCTTCTATCCATTCAGTGCGTTAGGAGTGCACACTGGTCCGCCGCCAGCACCACCACCCCCGACTTCCGGTTCCGCTTCCGTGACTAAATCCGAACAAATGCAAGCCGAGCCGGCGCCGTTGCTTTCAGCTCAGTACGAACCACTTTCTGACGAGGATTGATAGTCTAATAATTTAGCCACGTACAGATCGACACGCTGTGACAAAGTTTCTTAGGGTATTTATGCACTTTGTTTATCTTGACGAGAGTCTCACGCAGACGTCGATAAACGATTGAACGTTTCACGATTAGCAATGTTTGTCGGGCGTTACCCGTCGCCGTTCTTACTGATCGTCAGGTTTTGATCGCATTGAGGAGATTCAGTTTTTTTCCCTATTCATTTCGTTCATTTCTTTTTCTTTTCGTTTTTTCACTTCTGTCCTACTTTATACCCTCCCCACTCCTCTGCACATCCTACCTATCACATTTTTATTCATAAATTCGCAAACGGAGATTATATAACATGATGATTTGTTTTACATACAGTTTATTATTTTATAAATTTCGTATTCCCATTATATTTTTAGCAAGAAATCGCTGTCCTCGCTCCCCCGCGCAGTACGCAAAACGATCGAAACGTTTTACGAGAGCAATGTTTTAATGAGACGCGCCCGCATATCGCGAAATTGTCTTCNCAGCAACAGCAACACCAGCAGGCAGCGTCTTCTGTAGGAAAGCAACAATTTCACTCTGTCGAACCCGTGTCACCACCGGAAGCGGGTACCAATCATTACGGGCGTCGCTTATATGAAACAACCACTGCCACATCGACTTCCGGAACCCCTTCCAACAAGCCTCATCTTTCGCCGTTGGATTACGTGAAGAACAAGATCGTTGAAGTAATGCGTACATCCGAAGACGATAAAGGTGGTAACGCAGGGGACAGGAACGGAGGGAACGTTGCCAGTGGAGAAAAGGACGAGAAGATAGGAGGGAACATCGAGAGCCCTTCCGGCGCAGAGATGATGGTCGACGGGACACCGAATCAAAATCCCCAACCACCCGCGCCAGCTCCTACAACCACCTTCTATCCATTCAGTGCGTTAGGAGTGCACACTGGTCCGCCGCCAGCACCACCACCCCCGACTTCCGGTTCCGCTTCCGTGACTAAATCCGAACAAATGCAAGCCGAGCCGGCGCCGTTGCTTTCAGCTCAGTACGAACCACTTTCTGACGAGGATTGATAGTCTAATAATTTAGCCACGTACAGATCGACACGCTGTGACAAAGTTTCTTAGGGTATTTATGCACTTTGTTTATCTTGACGAGAGTCTCACGCAGACGTCGATAAACGATTGAACGTTTCACGATTAGCAATGTTTGTCGGGCGTTACCCGTCGCCGTTCTTACTGATCGTCAGGTTTTGATCGCATTGAGGAGATTCAGTTTTTTTCCCTATTCATTTCGTTCATTTCTTTTTCTTTTCGTTTTTTCACTTCTGTCCTACTTTATACCCTCCCCACTCCTCTGCACATCCTACCTATCACATTTTTATTCATAAATTCGCAAACGGAGATTATATAACATGATGATTTGTTTTACATACAGTTTATTATTTTATAAATTTCGTATTCCCATTATATTTTTAGCAAGAAATCGCTGTCCTCGCTCCCCCGCGCAGTACGCAAAACGATCGAAACGTTTTACGAGAGCAATGTTTTAATGAGACGCGCCCGCATATCGCGAAATTGTCTTCGTTTAAACGTAAAACCGTAGCGTAATTTTAAACAATAATTAATATTTTTTTACGCATTACATATCGTCATATTGACACGTAATAAAAAGGAAATATGTACTGTCCCGGCTACATCGAACGCTCTGTTATATTCACATCTCTGTTACTACTTCGTTTGAAAGAAGCGCGTTCCAAGCATACTCAGAATGTGAGTGCCAGAGATACGAGGAATTTTAATTTTCGTTGCTTTTAGAAACGATGATATCAGAACCATTGCCGCAAACTCGATAACGAAAATTACTAAATGTTCTGTACGAATTTTCACGTATCGTTATGTGTATATGTGTGTGTGTGTTTTTTTTTTAAATACAATCGAATTTAGAAACAACAAAAACGATACAGCGATGTCGGTCAGAAGAAATTCTGTTCTTTCATGATTTTCCCTTTTTTTCGATACGTCGAATACCCTCAATGCGTTGACAACCTTCGAAGGTCACATACTGTTTTCGCGGTTCATAGAAATGTTTTCGATCGACGCCGGAGTTGCGTCTCAGATGATCCACACTCACGATATAGACGTCGACCCGTGGAACGTCCAGGCTAGCCCAAATTCACAAATGGAGACGCTTCTTTTTGTACATAAATGAAAATGTAACCGTTAAAGAATGATGAAACTTTAAAGGCATACGTGTTTTTATTTTGGAATGAGTCTGTGATGTGTCTGGGATTAAAGTAGCCTGAACCGTAGCATCAGTGCGAAGAAGAGAGTGTGTAAGTTTCCGAAAAGTCCGCGGCGAGCCCGACGCGGACGAGAAATGGTGTGTGCGCGTGCGCGCGCGCATGCGCGCGGACAGTGGAATGGCACCGTTCTGACGAGAATCGCTTTCAAATTGTTCTCTCTCCTTGGTGAAGTGGGTTTTAAGTGAAAAATGAAAAAAAGTGTAATTCTAAGTGTTGTACATAGTACACAATATTAATTTTTAAGTTGAGCTAGTAGGTATATGATGGCTAGTTTATCGTATGCTATTGTAAGAATCTAGATTATAGCGTAAGTGATGTAGCTAGCATTTAGGGGATAGACGCCATGAACTGACTATGGGAATACTTCCCGAACTACGTTCTCTTATCGATGAAGATAATGCGGGCGATCGAGGGACGATGTGTCAATGTCGTCCTCGGGCGAATAGATACGATTTTATTTGATTAAAGAAAAAAAAAAGTAACTTTCTGAAACCCGAATGTACGCTCTGACTATCATGAATAAGTTTAATCACACTCACATGTATACATGCGCGATGACACAATTTAACATACACACGTGACACTGGTATAGACAACATTATACATACAAGACACAACACGTTCACATGGAAACGCATTGGAAGAGAACAACACACGTGTACAAGTAAAGAATTTTTATATAGCCTAATTTTATATTTGTATGCAAACGTAAGTTGAACCGTGCGATCTGCTCCTTTGTTTAGTCATTCGGATACCCGACAACCAACCAACACCGTGCTTTTTAACCGCAACATCGCTGCACCCGAAAATCGTAAGTCGCTTTTACCAAAACGTTACGAACGATGAAACAATACACACGTACACGCGTATCTCTGTGTGCTCCCTCTTTGTACGTATGTTTAAACGTGACATGTACATGCTGACATGCAGAGAGGTGCAAATTATTCGACTCCGTTTCATATGAAAAATGTAATTATATATAATGCTTAAAATGTACGAAATAAGAACTATCTCTGTAGAAAATGAATTTTTATTTAAAATATCTGTACGCTGATGATACAACACCGTTGACTGTCCGTAATTCACGTAATACTGTTTTTTTTTCTTGTTAAATCGACAAATTAATATAATTCGCTACACTATTTCATGAAAGATTTGAAGATAATTTACTGTGCAGATTATTGTCCAGAAAATCAAAATACAATGAATGCTATACGAAATTCTAAATAATTCACTAAATCAATAGTTACCTACTGTGAAAAGAAAATAGAATATGAATATACATAATCAGATGTTAAAACTCATGGTTATTAGTATTGACAATAGTTATTTTTAAGAAAGACAAAATTTATATCACATTCTCTTGTTGTTCATTTTAATCTGTAACCTAATGAAACTTCTTCGAAATATGAAACCATCTGATGATATAATAATACTTTTCTGCTTTGCTACTACAATCTTTTTATATTTTTGTAATATCTGGCAAATTGAGAAAAGACTACATCGAGTGTAATAATTTGCATACCTCTCTATATATGGTGTCTCTGGAATACATGCTTTTATTAAGAGAGCTAGAAAGGGTCTAAAAAGTGTCCTGTCAACGCGTTCAATATTTTCAAAGTACTCTCAATTAAAAATTACCATCTTTTCCCAATTTTAAACATAGAATTTCTGAAAAGAATCAAATCAACAGAAATTACATTGCTATCCAAAAGCTTACATAACGTTCTAAAAAAAATATATTGTACTTTGCCAAATTATTAATAATACTAACTTTTAATGCATAATCCTGCTTGGTATCGAAGTATGCATTTAACAGGCATTAGTATAATTCATATTTAACTTGATAAACCGTTCGATTGGTAGACTATTGCTCCTAATAATGTTAAAATAATTTATCAGACTGGAGATCTGCTTTCTCCTTAGTTGTAGTTTTTAAAGGACTTTTCTCTCTGGCCTAATTATCTCTCTTATACGAGCTACCACCTCCGGAGGCACCCCTGTACATATACACGTTACTGTAGTTTGTTTGATCGCACATTTTTATATGGTTGAAACGCATCTGGTCGGATAATGTTGAGTGCCTCAGCCCATTCCGGGGATTGTCGAACAAACGAACGAACGAACGTATGCATGGTAATAATCATCTTCGCTCCATTTCAATGTCGCATTATATTCATTTTACTGGCAAATCTGAGATCGGACGAACGTCCGGCGTTTTCAGTGTACAAAGTGCACGGGGGTTGCGGGAGACCGGCCACGTGCTCGTGTAGGGTTAATCGGAGCGTGAGCGTCGGTTACCTAGAATCTGTTAGCATCTCGTTCTACCAGCGTGCCAGACAGTGTCTCGAAGTTGATTCTCAAGATCTAAACATAGTTCCCCTCGAGAATCGGGAATCGACGGGATTTATCATTTATCAATCCGGAAACATAACACGTGTAAACTGATCTTTTTCGTTTCGGACGTTCCCGCCTCTCGGGAAACGGAACGAGGAATATACTCGAAAGTTTAGACTGCATTTAGAGTCTAAATAGTTTGTAATACGAGCCGATCATGCGTGTCGGGGACGTCGGGATTGCGAGTTGATCCAAGTATTCTTTGTAAATAAAGGAACCTTCGCTTCGCACTCGTGGATATTACGTAAGCGTTTCTCTGTCGACGACCGGGGTGTTTTCACGCTTTCCGTTCTCTCTCTCTCTCTCTCTCTCTCTCTCTCTCGGCGTACGACCTTCGTTGTGTCATCGATACATCGTTGTCCTTTTCTTTTCGTCTAACAGTCGACGCTGTCAACAGCATCCCTAGAACTCGTGCCCGCGAACGGCTGACATCGCGGAGGTGTGCAAATGATTAAACGCAGCTCGGAAAACATTTTCTCTGGAAACATTGAAGCTCGAGAATGTATATCAGTTCCAATGTTTTGTACATTCTAATCGTTTGATTTATAATACTTACCGTGCATTTCTCTGCTTTTAATTAACCAGTTGCCTACGATTTCCTATACTTTCGCCGGATGCAGATTCGATATTCAGTGTACTGGGACATACGGTGTGAAAACGTTATTTGTTGTATTTTTCGGTGTTGAATCTACACTGAACGTCGAATCTTTGTTGACTATCTTATGTAATTGTCACGACAGTGTAAAGAAAAAACAAAACAATTAAACGGAAAAAACGCATATGTCGCATAGCAAGTAATAATTAACGTATCGATATGTTTATACGATTTTTACACTCGTATTAAAGAGAATTGTTGACCAGAGTTCAGTTTGCAAGAACTTTTTTCGACGTGTATCTGCCGATGGCAACGGTATAAATTGAATTCTGCATGTATCGTGATCGATGATGGTTCATTTACACGCTGGTCAATAGCATTTCACTAAATTCGAATCGATACACCGAAAAAAAAGAAAACATACAATGGAAAATCCACTATGCCAAGAAACTGATATAATAAAGTTAATACTCAAACAGTTCGAATAACAGGAGATCATTATTTTAAAACAGCTGTTTCTTTTAGGAAAAGAACGATACAGATCTTTATTACCATTTCGAGCTTCTAATTAGTTAATTCGCAATCATTTCGAGGCGTTCGTGCAAGAAAAGCCGAGAAATTCCGAGAATACCATAATCGAATCTAATAATTTGCATACCTCGGTATTATTTATTCGTCCGGCATCGATTATCATCGAAACATGCATTGAGATTATCTTTAACGTAAATATTGATTCTGCCCAGAAATAATTAATATAATAAATTCACTGACGCAACAACTATAATTCGATCGCAAGCTCGCTAGGTATACAATCTCATCCAGGAACACTCACACGAAACAGTTCCCACGTTTTCGTAGTTGTAAATGAAAGATGAACACGTGTGTACAAAGTTTTATCAGAATGGCCGTCTTCCCAGCATTAACTTCGGTAATTTGTTTCTCGATCTATATTAAACTAACGTTACACAAAAAGTCGAGACTACGATTTGAAAATACGTGTGTACTTATAATGCGTGTGCATATTCGAGGCTAGATTCGATTTCGCGTGAAGCATAGAACGGAAAAATTTTGCAGCCCCGCATAAACATGTACAAAGCAATTTATTNTCGGCGTACGACCTTCGTTGTGTCATCGATACATCGTTGTCCTTTTCTTTTCGTCTAACAGTCGACGCTGTCAACAGCATCCCTAGAACTCGTGCCCGCGAACGGCTGACATCGCGGAGGTGTGCAAATGATTAAACGCAGCTCGGAAAACATTTTCTCTGGAAACATTGAAGCTCGAGAATGTATATCAGTTCCAATGTTTTGTACATTCTAATCGTTTGATTTATAATACTTACCGTGCATTTCTCTGCTTTTAATTAACCAGTTGCCTACGATTTCCTATACTTTCGCCGGATGCAGATTCGATATTCAGTGTACTGGGACATACGGTGTGAAAACGTTATTTGTTGTATTTTTCGGTGTTGAATCTACACTGAACGTCGAATCTTTGTTGACTATCTTATGTAATTGTCACGACAGTGTAAAGAAAAAACAAAACAATTAAACGGAAAAAACGCATATGTCGCATAGCAAGTAATAATTAACGTATCGATATGTTTATACGATTTTTACACTCGTATTAAAGAGAATTGTTGACCAGAGTTCAGTTTGCAAGAACTTTTTTCGACGTGTATCTGCCGATGGCAACGGTATAAATTGAATTCTGCATGTATCGTGATCGATGATGGTTCATTTACACGCTGGTCAATAGCATTTCACTAAATTCGAATCGATACACCGAAAAAAAAGAAAACATACAATGGAAAATCCACTATGCCAAGAAACTGATATAATAAAGTTAATACTCAAACAGTTCGAATAACAGGAGATCATTATTTTAAAACAGCTGTTTCTTTTAGGAAAAGAACGATACAGATCTTTATTACCATTTCGAGCTTCTAATTAGTTAATTCGCAATCATTTCGAGGCGTTCGTGCAAGAAAAGCCGAGAAATTCCGAGAATACCATAATCGAATCTAATAATTTGCATACCTCGGTATTATTTATTCGTCCGGCATCGATTATCATCGAAACATGCATTGAGATTATCTTTAACGTAAATATTGATTCTGCCCAGAAATAATTAATATAATAAATTCACTGACGCAACAACTATAATTCGATCGCAAGCTCGCTAGGTATACAATCTCATCCAGGAACACTCACACGAAACAGTTCCCACGTTTTCGTAGTTGTAAATGAAAGATGAACACGTGTGTACAAAGTTTTATCAGAATGGCCGTCTTCCCAGCATTAACTTCGGTAATTTGTTTCTCGATCTATATTAAACTAACGTTACACAAAAAGTCGAGACTACGATTTGAAAATACGTGTGTACTTATAATGCGTGTGCATATTCGAGGCTAGATTCGATTTCGCGTGAAGCATAGAACGGAAAAATTTTGCAGCCCCGCATAAACATGTACAAAGCAATTTATTTGTGCCGATTGTAAGGGCGATTTACAATCAGTCGTTACCGTTACACACGAAGCTTTATTGTATTGTACGAACAAATGGCAACTGGATATAAAATCTTCTTGAATTGTACAAAAAAAAAAAATATCGAAACACTGAAAAGTATCGTTGTCCAATGCTTCCAGAGGCGGGGATAGGCGTGAATGGAAACGAAAGGGGACGTAGGAAAAACCGGGAAACGCACTGAAACGCGACCACTGGGCGGCTGTGGACCTTTCTGCGAAGTCATAATGTTATTAGGCCAGTTTACGAGAGGAACGATTCAACACAGAAGTTCATCATTTCCGTGAACAGAACTTGGTGGGACAAAGAACGATAAATGAGTCGACACATTGTTCGACGTTTCATCCGTATGCCGGAATTTCTTCTTCATTACCGTCGCAACCTTGTGTCTGTGTCGTTTAACCGTTCCGCTGACGTCACTGTGTGCATGCAGTGGTCTTACAATGTGGTCTCCCGATTTGCGCGCACGTACACGGCGACACACCAGTAACATGTACAGAGCGTTCCATAGCATGCGGGACACGTGTAAACGACGAATCGCACACGAAGAGCGTTTTTGCGTATCTTACCTTAGGTTAACACGAAATGTTTGTACAATGTTACTTCATTTTTTTCATTTTCTAACAATTGCTTAGAGAGAATAGTCGATAGACTGTGGATTTCCATGCATTTATGTCAAAAATGATTAGGTTTAGGCTTTAAAAAAAAAGAAAATGGAAAAGATTCAAAGAAACTGAGAGTGTATGAATTAATTTGAGAAATTTATACTTGGATCTTATTTCGCATAAACGTCCACAGTCTAGTCGTGATATATTGAATACAAACAGAAATGTTTCTCGGTATTTTTCGGCAAGCCGGAGTAGGTCCCGTGATGTTTTTGAGACAGCCTGTGTACAGGATGATTCCAGAAACTGCGACAAGATATAACTATTTTTCGAGTAGAAATAGAAAATGGTAAAATAACGGAAGAAATCGAATAATCAAGGAATCAAATTTCTGTGATAAAATTTGGTCTTGCAAAGTGCAACCACGCACAAAGCAACGTACAGTCGCACCGTTTCGTTCGGTCTGTTCTTCTAGATTATCCGAGTAGAGAGTGTATTTAAGGCAACGAGACCGAGGAGATTTCGAATTCTCGTGGCCGTTTTGTACTTGTTTTCTTTTTCTTTTTTTTTCACGTTTCTCACATCATTCGGTTATCGAACGCTTGCAATTAGCCAATTGGTTTCATCTCTGCCGTTCAAAAGTCACCAGTTATCGAAACAGAACGCAGCAAACGAACGTTGTCCTTGCTTAGCAACTGCCTATCCAACGTGTGTTTACGTTTTAAGAGCCCAAAATGAGACGGACATCGAAGAAACCTGAAGCAAAGAACCGAGATCAAGAAAATACAGACAGTGTTCAAGTGCTATTGAAAAACAAATATGAATAATCAGATGACATAAAGATATAAAACAACAAGCGTTCAGTTTTTATTTCGGTCTTCAATCCTGTTACCTTTGTTATATCTTCTTACAGTTTCGAAATCATCCTGCATATCGGATTCCGGCGCTGACTTGAACAAGGGATGCCTCAAGAGGGATCTGTTTAAATTCTGACACGCAGTAAGAAACGTCACATCAATGTCACGTCAATCCGCAGTATAATGATCCTCTTATTGGATCTAACAGAAAAATTCAAATTGGAACGCAGCCCAAATACATTGGACATTAACAAACTGGTAACCATGTAAAATTTGAATTCTTTAAACAGTACCTAATATTTGAAAAAATAGCGGGGAGAAAGAGAGAGAAAGAGAGAGAGAGAGAACGAGAGGCGTAAAAGATGTGAGAAAGGTTGAAGAATGGGAGACAGAGAGAATGGAAACACTAGAGACAGAGATAACGAGAGAGAAAGAGACACACGCAGGCACACGTACACGTACACGACTATATCGTTGATGCAACAAAAGGCAAATCATCTAAAAGCTATAGAAATTTCTAGACGACATAACGTATCGTAAGGCATCAACCCGTACGCACAAGTCTGTCGAGCGTCAGGAAACGAGCAATCACTGGAGTTAGGCGAAGTAGCCAAGCCAGATGAAGCAAAGAGGTCTGAGAAGACAATTTTGTCGTTAGTGATAATCACCTTAGCCTGACCCATCCGATAAGATGCTGATTTGATATTTGTAATTATCATTTCTATCATGTCGTGAACTCTCGTGCTTCAGTGTGCCACTGCGGTGCGAAATCATTTTAACGCGTCCTGGACAAATAAGATGATCCAACTGTTTTCGCTTCTGTTAAAACTTGCCCAGGTCTATCGGGTCTGTTCGGAACGTATTAAATGTAAAAATTGATGTCGCGCCGTAGGGGAGAGACGCGAAGGGAGTAGTTGCTAGGTTCACCCGATCTCCCACCTTCTCTCGAGAGTTGCATGGATATAGTCGAAACGTTCTCCGGTGTTCGATGAACCTGTGCGTGCTGGTTCGTAACCCGATGGAAGATCGATGTCTATTGTTTGGCACTCCTCTAACGCAAACAACTCTGTACATATAGATGAAAGAAAAGTAAACGACAACGCCGAGGTATTTAGCCTCCTCCCCGTGGAGAATTGTCCCTCGAACAGTTCTCACGACGGACAGAGACAGATGACAAACAAAAGTGAAAAGGATATGTCACGTGAACAAGTAACAAGAAAAAACTAAAAACACTTAAGGAAAAGCTAAGGAGCGATATTACCTACGAACCCGCTATTAATGCGATTCATTCAGATAAATTAACTAAAATTAATAGCGAGCGAGAGCATACCCCGCCTACAGTAACTACAGGTATAGCATACACGGTAATATGATTATCAAAACAGTTCAATGTAAATTGTTATTTTTGTTGAAATAAAAATCACCTCCGTTATAATAACTAGCAACCCCCCCCTACCCCACCCCGCTCCACCCCTTAGCCCGCCGCATCCACCCTTGCATCTCACTCTTGATAATATGAACCTGCCACAAAAGGATATACAGAGCGTACATTAGATTTCAAGAAAACAACCGGGCTATATTTGAATGCTTTTCGATTCGAGTGTTCGGGCTTCGAAGAATTCGCCGGCTGACACGTTTCGGCTAAACAATTTTTACGTTCATGTCGCTTGGATTATCGTTAGAAATCGGCGATCATCGGTGACTGTTGAGGTCAAGATACATTACATAGTAAGCGTAAGTGCTCGTTCAAGGTCACTGTTGACCTTCCTTCGTTGCAGTGAATGTGCGGAATTTTCATTTGAATCTCAATGTTCGAAGTCGACAAAAAATCATGGATCGTTACTGTACAGTTGATTGTTCGAATAGAATTTAACGATATCACTTTTGTTACTGAAAAATATGGAAACACAGGACTGAAGAAATATATACATATAGTATAAATGATACCGAATAGTCGTACCTGTCCGAAGATACTAAGTAACTTGTTATTAAAACACGACCGGATCCTGTTCATCGTACGATTATCCGACAAATTGTATCCTAGAGGAACTCGTAAACTAATTAAAAGCGAAAGTTATTGGTGATTTACTTTATTCTGTTTATATTATATATATATATATATATAATTATATTATTATATATATATAATTAAATTATTATATATATATATATATATATGTATAGAGACGCGTACAAAATATACAGACTACATGAACGTACACTCTATCGTCGATGCATCGAGCTGACAAGAACCTTAGTATTTTAAACGTTCGCGTCTATCGGTCGAAACATTAACAAATATGCATTTTCACGTTCTTCTTTTATTTTGACATTTATTACAAAACTTACAAAGAGATAATATATGAACAGTACTTAAGACTCGAAGAGTTGTATAATAAATACGATTAACAAATAGGGGATGATGGAGGTTCCTCAGCAAATCCTTTTGTTCAACAACATCGAAGACCTGTTGCAATTGCGTTTCTTGTGATACATATTTTACCCTGTCTCTCGAGATCGACGTTACATTTCACTTGTAAACATATATTTTCGCGAAGAATACTTTCTTTTCCAAGGCTAACCATTGTTTACGGCTTTCACAATAAACAAACATTCTTAAGCTAGCTATACGTCCTGATAATTTGCAGGATAATCTCATTATTACTCGCTATTCAGTTTCGTCTGACGATCTTCGATTACTTTCAATTAAAATCATACGAACGTTGAAGGAAAGTTAACGTCCGAATGAACTTTACGAGAAACAAAATGACGCAATTGTATATAATAGTAACTTTCAATGTTTTGTTACGATTTATAATTTATTTATTTAATAATAATGAATTTGTTTTATTCGGATAAATAAAGAAATTGTATTATCTTCCGCGATTAGCATTGTATTGCTTAAAACTGTGTTCCGATTTGTGCGCGTACAAATCTAAACGTATGTATATTTTAAGGACACTTGGAACATCTTTACTTAGGCTGACCTTAATTAACTAAGTAGCAAAATTAGTATGATTATGCGCGAAATTAAATAATCATTGGAACTACTAAAGGTCTACTACTGTTAAAAGAATAATTAATAATAATCTTAAGACTATATATTGACCCAAAAAATACGCCCTATGATTCACGGCTATATTTTAGAATGAAAATACTTTTTTGGTATAATAACATATTGTGAAAGTTTCTTGAATTTTGCGTTTGTTCAATGATAATGCATGTTACATGATGTTCAGTAAATTCTAAAAAAGAATTGCATTCAAGTATTAAAAATATACACTCAAAGTATTTCCATTACGCATCGGTAAGTTGCAAATCAGGTACATGATATAGTGAATCATAAATACATGGCATAATTAATTGCAGTAACTTATCATATAAAAATTTTCGAGATTTCCATTAACAATTCTCCTATAGCAACAATACTTTGCGCATACACTATATATTGTTCTTGTTTGAATACTATAAGTAACTAAACATTACTTAAAGAACGTCAAAATATTGAAACCGTAGTAATACACTTTCGACAATTAAATAAGAATAGAATTTTTATTTTTTGGACGTCATGTGTTTTATCTTTAGAATATTGGTATAATTAGCACCACGTAGTTCGACAATTATAATTTAGCTGCCCAAATATTGACTTCAATCGAGAAAGTTTGATCACTTTCGTTAAGCTTTAATCGTTCCTCGTTAAATAATTCTCTCTATCATATTTATGCATTGATTTGTTGTAATTAATATTGAATGTGCAAAAATTTCTATCATGTTTAACATCTACTTTTTGTGTTACATACAGGCATCTTATATCACAGTATGTAATATAATAGTACTCCTTGTACACCTGTGAATCAGGTATAATTGCATTGACTATTGAATATGTTATTCAAAAATGCAAGGTATGTACTATAATTGACTCTTCAATTATTTTAATGGCGAATTTGTGCTTGCGTTTGTTTATTCAACGGGAAGACACATTTGATCTTCGACAAAAAACGCAATGCCAAAAAAATGAACATACGAGAGTATAATGTTATAATTGATCATAGTAAGAAGTATATAAAATATTCCATAAAATAGCGGCAGTCATAAGTACAGTGTAAGTAATAATACTAGCCCACCATACAACTTTCTCCCATGTTTGTTCTTCAAGATTACGAAGAACATTTATGCCCACAAGTAGCCCTGCAATGGCACCAGCAAAATGAGCAACATAACCCACTTGATCGTGCGTTTCTAATACATAGCGGTTGTATATTGCTTGACCAATATCAAACGAAGTCACGACGAGGAATACTAACAATTGCATTACCGCAAATTCCATTTGTGACCAGTTCATTACAATAGTTGCCACATGAGCAGTGATTAATGCATAAACACCACCTGATGCACCTGCTAAATATACTCGAGGATCAGAAACAGATGTGCCAAGAGATCCTGCTACAACACCCGCTATATAAATAGTCAATACTCTCCACCATTTATGCACCATTTCCAATGGAATACCGAGCATTATCTGTACAAGTAGATTTACCACCAGATGAAATACACTGTTTTAAATAAGTATAACAATTAGTTGCTAAACATGGTTAAACTTTTATAGCCATAAAATCTGAAATACATACCCCACATGCACAAACATGTATGTCAGATACCTCCATGCTTGGAACCTTTTATGTGGATTATAAATAAATAAAGTAGCTGCTGGCCCTTCTACGGATAAGGATTTGTGTGCGATCACATCGTACAAAAATAAAGTAATCTCCAATACGGATATAATTATCATTGCCAAGGCAGGAGGTTTGCAGGTATATTCCTCTTCGTATTGTCCATCTGTATAATCACTGGAGGCTGTTTGGAAAGCAGACGGCCTTTGCGGTACCATTGAATGTACATATCGTTGTACAAGGTGACCAAAGACACCCTGCATATCTTTTCTATGAATCTATAGCAAAAAATTAAAAGTAATAACGGTGTTATATACAATTATAATAAAAATACATACCATAGCTATGAATTCTGGGTAATCTAGATATCCAGAATCATCTAAATCCGCATTTCGCATAATTGTACGGACAACCCTCGTTGGAATATCATTGGAATAAGTAGAACTATGTATCATAGCTTTTAGTTCTTGATAAGAGATCTTTCCATCGCCGTCAAGATCATACTTTTCAAATATAGCTTTCCAATGCTAAAGATATCAAAAAAATAGATTCGCAGAATTATTAAAAAGGTTATAAGGATTTAATACAAATTATAAATGTAAATACTATTTCTTACAGAATTATTATATTGCAAGGGAATTGTTACTCCCGACTCTCCCCCTTGGTTGCTTGACATTCTGACCAGCTTGAAACCACTGTAAAAAAATAATGATACTCACTTATTTACTTGCTGAAGTACATACATTTTTAAACGTTCAACATCTATCACAAAGAAGCTGTATACAATATTATATATAATAAAGTATTACACTCTGTGTATAATATCGACCCTTTTAAAAAAACAAAATCAATGAAACTGAGAAGATTCCAATACGTTCATCAAAATGAACAATAAGTCGCACGATTAAGTGATAAATTACACATCGAAGGCGTCGCAATGTGTCATACGAATAAACCACACTGTATTATATTATGAAAGTGTTTCTTTGACTGACTCGTCAGACGAGCCACTAATAGGTCGATACCTATGTCTATTACTCATAGAATGATATCGATCTATTTTATCTTATCAGAAAGATATATTATCGGTACGACGAATGCAGAATTGTATAAATGCATGGTTACCGGTGAATACAAATTCTGATTCGGATTTTAAGAATGAGTGCGTACATGTGTTCTACTTGATTGTGTTCTTAGCCTCAATACCTACGAAACGCGTTGATAATCCAGTCCAGTGCGATGACTAAAACTATCTTCGAACAGAATTCTCCATTTCTACACAATTATTACATTACAAGAAACTGTTCATCTTGTACGTGTAACAGGATATAATTTAAAAAGACAGCACGCACCAGTCGTCGACGTCGCAACAGGTGAACTCGACCAAGCGTCGTGCGAATAGAGAAAGTAATGTACCGCAATGCTGCGAATCGATGGTAGATCGTCGAAATCGTTCCTTTACCGATTCTCGATATATGTAATATTTTTTCTTTCATGAATTAAAATATTTTGTTCAACGGCAGCGCATATGTGTATGAAAATATCAATAAGTAATCCGTTACATTCTAAACAAAGCGGTGTAATACGATTTGAACTTGAAACATTTTCCGACAGTTTCGCTTCGTGTCCACCAATGGCGTAGACAGCTGAACAGATTTTATTTTAAAAAACTAAATACATACTACTGATTTACAGCTTATTTACTAATAAAATAAATTTGTTTTCTCGAACACTCTAATCACGTCTTAAGAAATGCCGTAAATGTACAATGTCACGGTTCGACGTTATACAATTGTTAGCCGGGAATAATTGTGCAAATCATAAGTGCTTATAATTTTTTCTTCCTGCGTGTTTCTATTTTTGTTTAATCATCCATTGATTGCATCATTAATTTTACATCCGAGTACGTAAGAGAAGAATAGCGTACGCGCTATTCGGGTAGTCATTCGGCCGTGAAAGGTTCCTATAAAGCTTGTTTTTACTGCATATAAGAGTTCCGTCTTGAAAAGCTGACTCAACAGGATACAGGGATCTCCCGGCTACGTTTCATTTCTAATTTAAAAGCGACGCCGAATAACCGGCTTCCATGCGCACAGGTAGACATAAATGTACACGACACGAAGGTGTCCAACATGTTGATGGTATCTACAGTTTCGGCTTTATGTTAGCCTGTTACACACAAACGGCGGGGATCATGTGAATTCCAAGTGCAGGTGCACTGCGCGATGTGCGCCCCTGGTTACCAAGCAACAAGAAGATCGATAAACAATGCTTTTATCGTGCGACTGCTGCCGGTTATTTTCAAACGGTACACTAATCGAGTCAGTGTACAAATCTGCTTTGTCTCATACGGATCAGTCCCCGCAATTAATTATTGTCGACGTAGAATCAAATGTTAACGAAAATACGTAAAGAAAAAATATCCTCCAGTTACCGGGTCAATGAGTCTATAAATAATTTCAAAATAAGGTAACGAATATATTTCAGCTAATTTCAACAGAATTACATCGTATTAATGACAAGTAGGAATCAATGATACCGTCAGTATGAACGTACGATTAATCAGGGACAACGTGCCACTGTTTTTTTTTTCTGACGAAAATTGTACGGCAAACGTGTCGATCGGAATTAGATCTCGGCCATCTGGCAGAGATTGTTTCTACCTCCTAAATTGTATTTACCTTCGACTTGTTTGTTGTTCCAGAGTCAAAATCGTACAGCAAAGACCTTTGCTTGCAGAACTCCTCGAGGATGAAGAAGATACCAGAGACTCGAATTTTGTTCAAGAAGAAGATTATATTTTTGATTGGCAAGAAAAGGTGTTCAGCCCGTTCGAAGTTGACTTTTACAAGGATGAGAAAAATTGCACGACAGAGACACAGAAGTCCTATTGCCGAAAAATCAACGAGGAAAGCGTTAAAGGCTCTCATCTGTACACCTACACGCAAACGGACTCGTATTATTCGGAGAATGAGCTATTGACGAGACCATACAAGTCAAAATTGGCCTGTAGAAATGGAACGGCGTTGCCGTCTTTGCAAAACCGTAAACCATTTACCGAAAGATACAATAAATCGGTCATCGACGATAAACCTGGCGAAGCAAGGATACGCGCGAACCATTATGTCTACATGGAAAGATCTACGATGTATGTCATGGTTGATTTATCTCGAAGAGATAAAGCTGTATCGAATCCGGACAAGGATTCCGAAACAGTGCTATGCGTTATTGCATACGATCGGTTGCACAAAACCTTGTCCGTGAATCCTGACTTCACGAACGATCGTCCTTACGTCGTGACGAATTCCAGTGGCGTGGAATTTAATTATTGGATCGAACACACCTCCGAGGAACAAACACCGGAAGAATTGCAAGAAGAACGGAACGAGTTGCAACGTGTAAGAGCAACGAAATATTTATTTGCACTATTACTCATACTCGGATTGCATATGGTTCGTTTGCTTTTTGAATCGACGGATATGATCAATTTCGCATTTCGAACACGGTTCTCGCTATAAAATATAAATATATGTCGCAAACGAATTTGTACGAAAGAACTGAAAGATTCAAATATGTAGTTATCGCGCAACTAATCGAAAGTCAATGGTATAATGAATAATGTACGTACCCCACGTAGGAGATTTCGGAGATTTGCCTCATGACTCTCTGTGGATAAAACATGTTTCTTGAATTTAATTAACATTTATCACTGACACCGATAATCGTTTTTCCATCATTCGAAATCCTGTTGCACATTAAATCGATGTTAGCTTCAGCTTGTATCCCGTTGAAATATATTCAGGAAACATGTATATTGCCACGTTTATTTTAGTAAATTTGTTCATTTTTGTTATATTTGAAAAGTACAATAATAATTAATATGTTTGTAACAATGTTGAATACGCGAAAGAAATAACCTAACCGTCACACTGTGGTCCCACAGCCAACTGAAATCTGTGGCGGTGAATAGTTGCTTGAACACTCTACGTATTTGTATTGTCGGATTCATACATGTGCATCCATGTATTCATACATAGTTATATACTGTTTATATTGCCCCTTAGAGTATGCTACATCCGCTCACCGAAGCAATTTGAATACATTCTGCGCACAAACGCACTGTGGTATTCATTATTCAAAATATTTTAAAATCAAATTAATTGTATTAATAAAGAAATCTATTACATCGACATTTTACTAAAGAAAAACACAACGAATCATTCAATGATATTGAATAATAAAAATCTTTTTAATATATTTTCTCTTATAGGAAAGTAAAGAAAGATTAATGTATAAAGAAGCAGAAATATCTCCGAGTTTCGAGCTAACTACACCACAGATACATAAAGTTTTTGTAAAACTTGATATTCTGTCTGCTCACGAATTTATTTTCGATGGCCTTTGCGTTTCATATTATATCCAGTTACCAGAAGATTGGAGTACCGACCAAAGTGATAGATTATTTGGAAGGACTCAGCGGTGTAATTTGAAAAATAAATCAGCATATTTTGGGTATGCTACTGAAATATCTCTGGATTTTAAATCAGACAATGCATTAACTGCAAAAAAGACTTTACCATTTTGGCCTAGATTCTTACTGTTGGTCACATCTCTTGATACATGGTCGAGGTAACATTATTTAATTGTTAACATTACATTTGTAATTTATATAATTAATTAATTATAAATTAAGTGTTCTATCATTTCAGATACCGTACAGAAGGATATGCAGTCATAGCCTTACCTGCACATCCAGGTACATATGAATTTAGTATTCCAACATGGAGACCAACAGGAAGTATTATTAATTCTCTTCGAAGATATTTCACGGGAGGTACTTATGAATTAAATGATATAACTTATTGCAACATATCTGCAAGATATGAAGATAAATTATTAAATAAGTCACACGTAAAAGTGACATCAAACGGATGTGTAAAGCTGAAAATGAATATCATTTATCAAATTCATACTTCTACTAGAATTGATGATCAGCATGATTACTTTCAGAATTTAACTACGGATAAGCTTATGACGAATATAGAAAATATTTTCGAACAATTTAGGGCAGCTAGGGACCGAATGATGCAAGTTAAACGTCTCAATATTTAATCGATTAAGTTTGAACAAAGCGATCTGTGATATTATCAATGAAAAAATATTTTAAACGTCATAATTAATAAGTAACATTTATTTCTATAATTATAAATATCTTTTATATAATATTATAACTAAAATACTGACTTTTTTTGATTTTTACATGATAAATGATACTAAAAATGCTATTAACATTATCCAAATCCTTTTTTATTTCCTGGATCTAAAAAAATGTATTACTTAATAATACCAAATTGAGAAATTGTGATAATTACATTTATACAGTAGATAATCAATAATATACTAACGTAATGGATTTCGAATGGTTCACTCTTATGTTTATAATTTAGAAAGAATTAAGTAGCATACAAAGTAGAAGACTGAAAAACAATCTAATGTATTTGCTAGTACATTTAACTAAAGGACTAGAGTAAAAGTGCAAACATGATCCCACGAAGCATACAAATGTTACTGCCTCTTCTTTGCAGCTTTTACTGCTTTTGGTTTTTGCTTTTCTTCTCCAGCCAAGAAAGTTGTTATAAGTTCAGACATTTCTGGCAGTCTGTATTTAGTCAGATTATTCAAATGTTCCATTTCCTGAAGGAATAGAAATGAATAAGTACAAAATTAAGGTCACAAAATAAAAATTAAAATATTTATAATACCTTGTATTGTGTACTCACCTTTCTAGCATCTGGATCATTCATAATTTTTGGTCCAATCATAAGTAATAACAATGGCAAAATCATCATCAATACCTACAGGAAAAGTTGAAAATAATAATAATTCTTTCTATGGCTAATATTCATATAATAATAAAACAACAAACGTACCATTGAGTTGAACAAGAAGTCCGTTACTTTCCATTGTTCCCTAACTTGGAAGTAACGGAATGGTGTAAATGGCCTCATTTTTAATGGATAAGGAATTTGTATCACTTGTGAAGTTTGAATTAAATTAACTTTTCTTGCTCTAAATCTTCCTTTCGAGTTAATTTCTACTCTTACTGGTTCATAAACACAGTTAGGATTTACAACCTCAATAACATAAGATCCAGAGGGTACATTTGAAATGATAAATGTTCCATCTTCCCTGGTAACAATAAACATATTGTTATTGATAGAAGTACATTCAATTTATGAATTAAATATCGTATAGAATTAAAATATTTGATTTATTATGATCCTAACCTGTGTAGAATATAACTCTCCACAATTTACGTTTAATATAACAGCCCTAATAGTTCATCATATGTAAACGATTATTTACTATTTTTACTAGTTGATAATATAAAACATTAATTTACCTCAAAAAACCATAATGTTCTCCACCATTAGCCATGACGTGTGTCATTAACTGCCAACCATTCGAGGCTTTGTTTTCCCATGGAAAAACTTTTCCTTCGATAACGTATAAATCCGTAGATACTTCTTCATCATTTTCTGCAGTCACATATTTGTCTGAAACACTGACAATAATGAAAAAGAGAAAAATAGCAGCTTTATACATGATCATATTGAACAAGTAGCTTCAAGTAGCTCCAGGGGACGTCAACTCTGTAAGAAAAATGGGGAACACTTTTTTGACTGCCATCTAAGCTAACTGCACACTTGTACGAACTAAAATTCAATATGGCTGCCCACCCGCATGTGTTTGGTGACTGTGGTACATAGCCATTGCCAACGCAACGCCATTCCCGCCATTCTGACCACAAACGAACCAGCGAACAGATAGGTAGGTAGGTAGGTAGGTAGAGAAATTTGATTGGTTGATGCTTCACAGCTAAACGGTGCTGTCCTCACGGTTCTAGCCAAAGAGAGGAAGTGATGAGTGAGCAAGAGACTGCGATATCAGCACAATCCCAAACAAAACGGGTTACACCAATGTAGCTTGTAACAATGCAAGCACTTTACTGTGCATGCATTCTCACTCTCTTCGCGCATTCATATGCCTGGTGCTCCATCTGAAATACTTGCATTTTTCGCCCCATAGGATACTCGACCTAGCGTATTTGCGAACGTCTTGAAACGACGATCATTTCTACAATTATTACAATTTTTGAAAACCCGTAAGCTACATTTTAGGTAATTGTTCCTACTTTATGAATCTGCTAAATTTTATTAATTCAGCCATTTTCTTACGGTTAAAAATTTGATAAACGAAGCTGAAACTTAATGTAGTAATTATCTACAAAAAAATTCTGAAACTCGGAGTTTTATAGAATTAGAGTTAAGAATTATTTTTTAAGTATATTACAATTACACTATCCGACAAAATCAAACTTTTTTTCTGGGTTCCTGTAGTCACTATGAAATTCTTGTAGAGCTTCACTCCCTGAACAAGAATCCGAAAACCGAATTGCTCCATCACCCTCAGTTTTTTAAATAAACGAACTTTTGTAAAAACCCAAATTTTCGACAAAAATGAGGTATTGCATGAAAGGTAAAAACATTAGAAAGTTCTAATTAGTGTTAAAAGATAGAGGAAAGTTTCCCGAATATTTTTGGCCCTAATTAATTAATTTTTGCTCGTAAATAGCAATAAATTAATGTCAAAGTTTAAAAAAGTGTCGACGTGCGCAGTTTCTGCGCAATATTTTTGTATTTTTACGAAAAGTTTTTTGTTCAGCACGAAAACTCTACCCAGGATCGGATTCTGTAGACATTTCTGAAGAAGAAACGGCCCGATAGAAGTGTCGGAACGATGTACATTTTGAGTAGGTCGAGAAAATGTTCGTCGGCAACATGTACACGATGTTTTGCCGCCATGTGCTTCGCTGCTCGCTTCTCTCTGTCCGACAGGGCCAAAGCTACGGGTAATCAACACCGATGGAGGGATCCAATGGGGCACCCACTTATCGTGTGGGGCGTACCATTTTTTTTAGTACTTCAATATGCTGTTTTCTTTTACATATTTTTATGGATAATAATCACCGAACTGTGAATCATAAATTAAAAATGGAGAAATAATAAAAGAAAAATAATGAACAAAAAATATTCATTTTATTCTGAATTTGTTCGAATTACAAGTATATCATGTATACAGTTATCATTTCAATTATAACGATAATACGATCATGAATAAATAATCATTTTCAAAATGTTAAACTTCTTGAGACATATCGTTAAATATATATTTAAATATTTATTTAATTATATGGCGTAGAAGTCAAAATTATACTAGTGTTAGAATACTTTTGTTACCAACTCCAAATACTCTGGTGTGATTTTTTGTGTGAAATATATCACAGTTTGGTGATTATTATCCACAGAAATATGTAAAAAAAAGAAAAACAGAACATTGAAGTACTAAAAAAAATTCAAATATTATTTACGAAAAGT